ATATGTATATGTGTATATATATATATGTATATATGTATGTATATATATGTATATGTGTGTGTGTGTGTGTGTGTAGCCACTTGGTAGCCACAAAGGAAGGATGCCATTCTTGCTTAATATCTTATTACCTCCCACTTATTAATAGTCACTTTTTATCATTTCATCAGAAAACATGGCGGAAAATGTGGATGGTGCTTTATAAACCCAGCTCTCAAGGGGTTGGCCGATTGGAGTTCTATGCTCTAGCTGACAGCAGCTGTGTTACCGAGCAGAAAAGGATGTGCCGGCAGAAAACACCAGAAAGAAAAGTCGTGCGTCTAATTGACTGTCTCAGTGTCACGTTTGCACCAAAGGAGTCTTGCCCGGCTGGCTGCACAGCCTTCTACCTAAACACCACACAGTCAACCTACATCTTAGCCTCCACATCAAGCCAGGACTGGGTGAATACCCTCTGTCATCTAGCCTTCCAGGTATCACACATCTCCAATCCTGAACAGTACAAATATGACCTTTCCTTTTATGTCACTGGTTAGGTTTTAATTTTTGGGAAAGGTCAGTAAGGACAGACTCTGCCCACATCCAGAGACAAGTAGCATAATAAGGAAGTTAATGCAGTATCTGTAACTTCTGTCCCTTTTACTTCTCTAATTCTTGTGCTTGCACAAGCTATGTACCTTCTTGCATCTTACCACTTTAAAGCCATAAAACAGTGATAAGAGGTACTTGTACACTCCATGTAATGTTTACCATGCCACTGTTTACAGAAGGATCCTGGAGAATCAGACAAAGGGGATTTTGAGCAAGATAATGGCTTGACCATGGCGGACAATGATCTTTACGCATCTTGGAAAAGCGGTAATGCAAGCACGTCTACACATGATTAGGGATCAGGCACAAGAAATCGAAAACAAATAAAAATGTGCAGGTCTTATTTCTTTAGCTTATCTATTCGTCCTACACACACCTGTTGAACTCTGTGTACTGGTTAATAAGAGAGTGCGTGAAAACTACTAGTCTTAGAAGATGAGGTAAGAAAAAGGGGAAGGTTGGTGTAATTTTTCCCCCGAATATACAAGGAACTATTTTAGACTTTTCTTTATTTTACTAATTTACTATTCACACCCAGGTTGGAAGAGCCAGTGTGGCTATTTACATCCAGGAGCATGGCACAGAGAAGGAATCAGGTGTCCATAGTAATGTTATTTGCACACAGGAACACGTTGCCAGAATTTCTGAAACAAGTAATATTAACTCAAGGTTATTGTTGTGAAAGGGTCTATTTTAATTAAAATAACACACCTATGCCACTTTATCACGTTTTGAGAAACCTAGTTTCAGAGTCAGGATATAATAGCTAGAAATTACATTTGTTGCTATTACTTCCAAATTCCCCAATAATAAGCATAACTATAGAGCTAAAAGTATGGTGTTTGACTCCTTCGTCAACGCCAACCTCCTCCAGCAATCAGCTTGCATTTTACTGGTGTTTCATTTTAGCCCGTTTTTGCTACACTGCTAATAGATTTGAAAAGTTACATCACAAAAATACTTCGACTTACTCCCAGTTATAAATATGGCCAGCCGTTTCTTTATCAGGGTTTTATTGCAGTGTACTAGCTCACATTAAACTTTCAAAGGCTTTAATGAGCTTACAAAACTTAACGACCTGTGCCACTTTATCGCATGTTTTGAGGAAGGTACTTGCAGGGTTGGGGGTTTTTTTTTGTTTGTTGTGTTTTTAAGCAGGAAGTGATATAAATGAAAAGATAAACAACCCCTGCGAGGGCAGTTATGTTCTAAAAATGATAAATACGTTTGCGTCCCCCCCACCAAGCTCGGCATCACTGTACAGCCCTCAAATATACGTCAGACAGGTTAAGAAATGCACCACAAGGGTTCATCGTAAGCAAAACCACAGCTTAAGACCAACTTCCTGTTTCAAAGGCAGCCCGCTTTACCCAGTGTTTTTGCCTTCCCACAGATTTTACAAGCACTAACGATAGATCACCTTCAAACAAATCCTTTAACAGTCTGTCTGACTCTCTGATCAGTGACATTTCTTCCGGTTTCCAACACTGTAGCAAAATTACTCAGCTGACGTCAGCAGGTAACTTGGTGACTGAAGTGCTTCCACAACCAAAGGATATAATGGGCGATAATTTGATTTATTATTATTACTTGTAAATTCCCCATTAATAAGCCTAAACCTGTGAGTATATTATAATAAAAAAGAGATATTTCAGTAGGATAAGCAGAGAAGAAAATGGATGGAAATATTTCACAGCATCATAAATTCAAGACATCAGCAGAAATCCTCTATATATATGGGAGCGGGCGCTACAGCCGCTAATTTATTCAAACATGAAAGCCAGAATGTATCAGCGTCAGCAAGCTCTGACTTATACAAATGCATTTCTCTTCATTTCCTAATGGATTACACTTCTCAACTATCCAGAAAAGCCAGCCTCACAGAGAGATTAGTAGAAGGCAAGCAATTTTAAATCAGATTTTTCAAAATTAAAAAGTATTTGGTGTGCATTTATTTCCTGTGCTGCTCAGACCTCTTGTGGGGGGAAAAAAACCCCAACCCTTTGTGTGTAGTTGGCGAAACACTAACCCTTGTTTGATGTCATGTGTTCCTGTCTTTAGCGCTGACGCTTCCTCCAAACCAGTACCAAGTAACCATCCAGAGCACAGAGGCGTCCAAGAGGTGCAAGCTGTCTGGGAAGTACCTGGTCTCCATAGAAGGGGAGGCAATAGAGCTGCTGGACATGAGAACTCGTTACATCATCTTCGACTGGCCATACAAGCTCCTACGCAAATTTGGTCAGATTGAGGTAAAGCACTAGATGTTGTGCAGTCCCTATGCTGATGATAAACCAGGTATTCCAGTGGGTTTATTTAGAATTTCTCAAAGGAAAAAGCTTTGTAAAACACACTCATTGACTTTTGTGCCAAGAGTTGGAAGAAAAAAATTACTATCACTCTGTTTGTACTCTAAATATGAAGCGACAGCCAGCAGCTTGTTAGCCCAGAAACGGAGGAAAACAGCTACTCTGGCTTTGTTCAAAGGCAGCAAAATCTCTAAAGCTCACTAATTAACATGCTGCTACTCGTTTGTTTATTCTGCTGCAAAAAAAAAAAAAATTAAATTCAAAGCTGAAGTATTGCATATTTTATAAAATGGCAAATGTATTTCCTAACATGAGGATCTTTGGCTGTGATTGCAGGGGGGATTCAGCATCGAAGCAGGCCGTCGCTGCAAGTCGGGACAAGGCGTGTTCATGTTTCTGACCCAGCATGGTCCCCAGATCTTTCAGACTATATCTAAGCAGTGCACAGTGGAGAGGAATACAGCAGTGCAGCCTCCCAGTGCCAACAGAAGATCACTAATTGACCCGTTTCCTGCTCCCCCGCCTGCCACAGCTCACTCTTTCGTCGACCCTTCCATCTACAGTTTTCCAGATGTTTCAGTCGACACAGAGGACAAGTTTACCGGCGATTACCCAATTTATGACGACCCTGTGCAGCAGATAAAACAGCTATCACTCAAGCCTCCTCTCTTGGGCAGCAATGAGGCTGTGGCAGAGGAATCTGAGGATGAGGATGAGCAGGAATGGTGCTATTCCCTGGAGGCTCTAAATCTGGATAACAATATTGAGGACAGCATTTACTGCAACTTACCGAGAGGCACGCCTCCTTTGATGAGAAAAGCCGAGGCAGATAATTCAGATTGCATTTATTCAGGGATAAAAAAAGTCAATTCTCTGACAAATCTTCAGCAGGAGCCTTCCTATCCCCCCTTACCATTGCCTGTACCCCCACCTCCTCCCTTATCATCCGCTTACTCCTTAGCCAAACCCCAAAACCAGCATGCGCTCCCTGTGAATAACTCCTTCCAGCCAGAATACAATACACAAGCAGACTACGATGAAGACGATTTGAATGAGACTGAGGAGGCCAATAGCTCCTCTGCTCAAGTTACCCCCTCAGAGGTGCCTGGCAGTTTTAAACACAGGCTGGCAGAAATCATTTCTAAGGACTTGGCAAAGTTCCAGCCTCCTCTTCCCTACGGAGCAAACAACCTCACATTTTCTCAGTAGACTATCAGTTAACAGACAGACTAGACAGGACAATTTTATCTGTGATAAATTGTCATAAAACACAATTAGTTTCTTTACTTCTATAAAATCCCCTCCACTGGGAACATGCAGTTAGGCATTCTGGCTCACAAGTGTTTGATTGTTTTTGCAGCTTGTTATATGAAAGATGCATCTGGAATACTTTTTAATCTGCAAATGCTGTTGCCAAAAAGAGAGATTTATTTTGTTTTCTTCTGCGGGAATGCTAGGCGAATACCTTTAATGTGACATTAACTGAGAAGGTGGGCGAGCATTTGCCCGCACCGTTTCATAATGGGAAAGCTGGGAGAGAAAACAAACAACCTCGCCTTGTTATGTGTGATGCGCTACACATCATCTTCATTATCATCCTCTCTGGAATCAGTTTGGTTTCTTAAGCAGAGTCAGGAGGGATTTGTCACATCAACTGTCAGTATCTGTAAAACAGAGTGGAAAAACCAATAACCCACATTGTGTTTTGCTGTAATTACTGCATGTGTTTGCTGACAATATCCATATAAAAACCACTTAAAAAGCACACTCTTATGTTAAGTATATCTTTATTGTACCAAAAGAGCCATCATAAAATACGCTATACATAAATAGAAAAATACTTGTTTATTGTTTTTGTTTGTTTTATTTGACAAATGTCACTAATGAAACTGGAAATGTGTCTAGTAATGGTTCAGAGTATAAAGTGCATAAAAAGGGCCTGCAAGAGTCCATCACATCCAAGCAGGTTTTTCTGAGTTTTACCTGTACGTTTACCTGTACAGGTAGTGCAGAATCTCAACTATTATTAAAAACAGGACTTTATGCTGTGAGAGCGTCTCTGCTGGTCAGCTGATATCTTCTGCCTTGTAAAGAGCTCCAAACAAGTTAAAAGTCAGTGGCACTGACTTTCTGCCACTGTTTCCCGCTTTGACCCTCCTCTGCGTCACTGAGATGTGAATATTCCCCATCGCTGCTGCTGGAACAAGTGCCTGATTTATTTGATTCCATGTCAGATGTAGGTCCAAGTAAAATCAGATGACCGATAGATGCGGAGGGGTCTCGCTGCTCTCCGGTCAGAGGTTTCGGGGACTGTGCAGCGGCTGCTGGCAGCAGAGAGTGAATCAGGCTCCTCCTGGAGGTCTTGTCTCCAGAGCCTGGACGAGGACTCCTGCACTCTGGGTGAACCACGCCGGCCAGGAGCTCAGACAGCTCTGTGATGTAAATCTGCGCCATCTGGAGGGTGTCGTATTTGGATAACTTTTTCTCGTTTTCCAGGGAGGGGATGACACTCCTGAGCTCGTCAAACGCTTTGTTCAACCCGTGCATCCTCCTCCTCTCCCTGGCGTTGGCCGCCACGCGCCTGTGTCTCTGAGGGCCGAAGTGGCTCGTCTTGCATCCATCTGGCGCCTTAGCAGGGTCTGTCTCTGTCATGCCTTTGGTGGTAACGCGGTCAGTGAATTCGGTCACTGGCACAAGTTTCTCCCGCGAGATGCCCGCTGCCTCTGCAGCCGCGTGCGCGTCCCTAATTGAGAGCGCACGGATTGAAGTGGAGGAAATCCAGGCTTTGGAGCTGATGTGGGCCAGGTTGTGCTGCTGCTGGTGATGCTGCTGCAGCAGAGTGAAGTCCTCTGGGTACTCCGACCAGCTCGAAAGTTCTGCTTTTGCAGCCATCACTGCAGTGTCCTGATGTGGTCGTGCACGGCAGGATATAAAGGTCGCACTTTCGCTTCAGCCGGTGCCAGAGTCTCTGGAGTGGTTTGCGCTGCGCCTACAATTTATACAGCCTCCCCTGTAGTCACCTTGGTGTCACTCCCAGCCCGCAAACAGCCCTGACAGCACTGTAGCCTCAGGAGGCAGCAGCCAATCGCACAATCCCTTCTGACCCTGTCTGTCAAAGAACAATTAGACAAAGCTCGACTTTTTCTCCTATTGTGCATTGTAACTCAATCACGACCTTGTTATCCCTAAAAGGAGACGAGTATTAATCATTTAAGAGCGTGCAATAGCCGACCTATGCTCTACCTAACGAAGCTCACCCTACTCATGAATGAAAATGTATAGAGAATGAATGATTATGTAATAAATTAAGTTATAGTCTATATTATGTGTCTATATTAATAAACGCGAGCTTGTATGGGAAAAAGTTTGTCTTCTTTTTAATTACACAAGTGTGTTAGTCATATTTCTATAGTAAGTATGTGTTTTTCTATAAAGTCATCATCATCCTTTCCATGGAAAATGCATTTCGGCCTCTTTCTCACGAGCGCAGTAACCGACTCGTGATTGGTTCTGACCCGCTGAGAGCTGTGGTTGTGGAAAACAAACGTCCAAGTTTGTTCTCAAACAAACAGTAAAAGGCGCCCAATCATTCATTATTTGCAGAAGAATAATAAAACTAACAGGTGTGAGACAAGGATCGAGACACACCTATAGCTGAGGCGCAATAACTGATAAGTTGTCTGAAGGCGATTTATGAACCATTAAGAAAAGTTGGAAAGAAAAGAAAAACACTCCGTCATTTATTATTTATTGCTGTTATTTTTTGCCGTTGTTGTCGTTACAAGATTAAGATTTTTCCTCTTTCAGACCCAGCCTCGAAGGAAGAAGATAAATTAGGCTACAAATTTTTGCTCAGGGTCACGTGGCCCCTGGCCTGTGCCTATCAGCTGGTGTCCCTTGGCACCGCTCACAAGCCACGCACCTCCGAGACGGTGTCACCCACGTCTCCCATATGCTGCCCACGGCGCTCACTGAGCTCTGACTCTGACATGAGAGCTAATCATTCATTAGGGCATCAATTACGGCGGAGAAACAACTTCAGCACCGGTGACGGACCTGTCCGCTGAGAGATCTGAGATGTTGTAGTGAGGAGTGACTGGGACAAATTTTGCATTCAGCGATCTCTCTCTCTCTCTCTTTCGGGGTCGAGTAGTAGTGAAGAAAATCACCGTGACCTGCCCCGCCGCCAGCAGTTTAATGAGGCCTGGTCTTAGTTGAATAAATCGGCACGTTCTTCGTCCCGGGATGTCCATTCTTTTTTTCTTCTATCTAAAGAGGGCTGGGGGGCTACATGAATATTTCATTCCTTTAGCCCCAGTGCCAGCGCAACAGCCCGCAACCCTGCGTGCAGGCTTTAAAAAAATGCAGCTACACTTCCCATCTGGTGCGGGGCGTGAGGGGGGGAGTGGCAGTGGAGGCCGAGGAGGTGTGAGGAACATTTCTAAGGTCAACTTGCAGCGACCTTCTGTAGGAGACAGGCGAGAATGAAGGGAGGGGGGCCTTACTTTATCTTTACTTGAATGCGTTCTTCTTGAGTGGTGTTAGGCCACTGTACATCACTGTGACTAAATGATGCAATGACCCTGACTAAACTAAACAAATCAACTCTGTAACTGTTTCCTGCTGAAAATGCACAATGCAAAAAACATGAACCTCAAATTGCACAAAAGTGTTTTGCAAAAAATTCCTCAGCAATTTCACAATGCAGTTCATGGCCATTGTGGCTATTGCTGCTTTGTAGTGCTATGTTCCCATATCAAGTAAACACAGGGCCAGTATTACCCATACCGATACCAACACCATTACTTTTAACCTGTAAAGCCAGTGTATGTAGGGGAGAGCAGTGTCATGTGTTATGAGATGACCATCGTGATTTTTAAAACACATCTGACCACATTCTAATGACCACTAATTCATCGTGATTTTTACTTTCCACAATACTTGATAAAACACACCTTTCAGCTTTTCGTGGATTTTAATACTGGGGTTTTTGGAGACCTATTTCTATTCTACTAGTATCCACTTGACTCGGTTTGGTTGTTTTCCATTACAACTGAGTGTGCAATGTGACCGAAAGTTCCACAATGTCATTTTTATGTGACACAAACACAAAACAACAATGGAGAATGACGAGGCGATGGTATAATGCTGCTTGGTCTATGGTTTTTGTCAGAATAAGGAGGTCACGGTGTTCATTTTTTGTGTAGCCATTTCCCTCGTTGCCGGGTTTCATAAACGGTGGTTTTGTTTTTTCTGAGGCGGTTGCTCTTAACTTGTCAAGTGATGCTGTTGACTGCTCAATAGGTGGCATGCAATATGTTGATGGCACATTTTTAGATTGACTCACTTTTCTCGGAACCCAGGCTGAGCAGGTACTAAACAAGTACTTGGTACCAGGTGCTACCACATAATGGAAAACTCTACAAACTGAGTTGAGTCAAGCCAAGTAGGTACTAGGGAAAAAGAGGCATAAATGTGTTTGTCTTTAAAGCACCTTTGGTCAGCTTTTTCTATTTAAAATGTGCTATAAACTACAACTAAAATAGACATGAAAGACAATAAAGAAAAATTTCACACATTTTTTATAGGGCATGCTTCAGGTGTTGTCATCATTTCCGAGAAAAATATTTAACACATTTAAGACATCATATTGAACTTAGAGGACAGAAATAAACATTGATCATGTTGCTATCCAACATCAAAGCGGAACAAGTATCGACGCTATCGATATTTGGATCTATCTGCGCACACTTATTGCTTTGCAAACAGTGAATAACAAACAAAGTTAGGTGGTGATGTAGCCCTGGTACATATCCCAGCGATTACTCCTTATCCTTGAATCATCCACAACCTAAACTCAACCAGCATACCAACAGCAGATTCCACTTGAGTCAGCACATCTTTCCCATAGCTGCTGTTTAATTAGCACTAACCACCTAAGTTGTTACACTTGTAGGTGATTGCAAGTGGAAGGTACAAGTGCCCTTTGACCGGTTCGTGTTTGCTGGTAACTGAACTTTGTAAAGACTGGGGATTTTTTTTTATGTGTGGGTTATTCTTATAATGCTGACAAATAAGTCAAATGCCATAGTTAAAATTATTTACACTAATGCTGATATCACTGGGGATGCCCTCATCTTCTCAGTTGTTACTGTTGGGTGACTGTGACCCCGACCGATCTTTAAAACTATTTTTAAGGCTTTTTAAATGAGGTGTGAACCATATTTATATGTGAACTAAGTTGACATATAAATATGACTCTCTACTTTAACGATGCATTTTCTTGTTTCCTGGAAACAAATACAATAATACCTGGGTAGGTGACAATAAAGGAAATTAGATCTCTCTCTCTCTCTCTGTGCAAAAATAAACAAACCATTTACTAAAATGACAAAGTGCACTTCACCTCCCAACTATTTGCCTAACACACCAAATTACAGTAGAATTAGTATTACAGAATACCAGCAATTATCCGGAAATTATGACCCAACAAAGATAATAAAATAATAACCACAGTTCTGATTGTAATATGTTCTTAATAAACAAATAAATAACAATCAACACATATAAATGTGCTTTTGATGCATGCCTTTGAATTCCTGTTTACTATCCAGGCGTCCCCTTTGTTTTGCTCCACCCACTGAATCGCATCTAACCCTGTGTTGAGCGTGCTTTAAGGTTGCCTAGCAACATGCAAACAGCCACACTAGTAAACTGTAGCTCAGCTGTTGGATTTCCTTCCTCGTCGCCAGCATTCAGTGGGGATGAATGCTCTATAAAGTGTGCCGTCGTTTCGCCTTGTGTTTTAATTAAAGACCTGTTAATTTCTGAACAAAAGACTGTTTCATTTTTTTTTTCTCGTGCACCAGGAACAGTGAACCTCTTGATGTTCGGCGGAGTCTGGTCTGTAATTATCCTCTCACACCCCGAGCTACGGAGGTGGTTCTAGTGAGCAAAGAGAGAAACCGTAATGCCCGGGTTTCAGGCGCAAATTAGGACAATTAGTGGCCTCATTAATTTGGGAAAATGGAAGTAATATTCTAGTTAAAGTAACGGTTCATTAAGTCAGTGCTATCTGTGGCAAAAGGCTAATTGATGAACTCTGAGAAGGACAGTAATAATGAGAGAAGACTTTTTCTCCGTACAGTAGCACTATTAGGGCTTTGTGTTTAATACCTGCTAATTTAGGAACAATATACTTGAGTGGTCGCCCCTGTCATCGCGAGAAGACCTCAATTGTTCCTTATTGAATTGGAAGAAAATGTCGCGATACCTGAGACAAAGTCACTGCAGGGTGCGGTTTAAGTACGAGGTTTGGAGTCAGCCCTGCACCACTGATCACAGGTGTTACCGGATACCTTCCTGAAGACACGTGTCACGTGTTTTCTAGCCTACTTTGATTACTCATTTGCACTCTTATTCTCATTCTGTAATCCTGTAGATCACACCGAAGCAGTAAAAAATGTTTTATTTACTTCTTACACTATTAAAAGGTTTAGTTTCTAATTTGCTTTGGTACTGTCACTGAAATAGATGAGAGCAGTGGCTGAAAGTAATACCAAAAAAACCCTAAAAGACTAAATTACAAGACTATTTCTATATCACACCCACCCTACTAACCTATGATTATATCTCTCTATCTCTCTCTATATATAGATAGATAGATATGACTGTGTGTGACTGTAACAAGCGTTAAAGTCAGTATTTGGTATGACTTCCTTTATTCTTATTATCTTAATCAAGCTTTCTTGTATTTTCTTTAGGTTGTCTTCAGGAAAAGGTTTTAGTTCACTGGCACACTGGTGTTTTGGGTTTCTGTCATGCTGAAGTTGAGGCCCAGCCTCTGGGGAAGCCAATCAATAACTGAAAATGATAATGCTGTTTTTTTCTTC